AGGATGGTTGTTATAATTTACGAAGTCACAAGTAAATAATAGGCGAACTGGTTTAGTTGGCAAAGAAGTGGTGAGTTATTAGCAAGGTCTAGGGTTCAAAACTCTTAGGATTTATTAATTCAATTATTCTATTAGCTTGATTATTTAGTGAAGGTTCAATTTGATACACAGGTCCCTGGCTTCGTTGGATGATTGAATGTGTGATTTTCTATGGGATTTATGAGATGGCCTTGTGGAATTGATTGCATGTTCTTGTATGAGATGGCCTTGTGGAATTGATTGCATGTTCTTGTATTTAATTGTCTTGTTGTGGGATTTATGAGATGGCCTTGTGGAATTGATTGCATGTTCTTGTATTTAATTGTCTTGTTATTGTTTATGCATGCTCGGGTGTTGTATTTAATTGTCTTGTTATTCTTTATGCATGCTCGGGTGTTATTCAAGGTTTAGGTCTAGTCTTAGGGCTTGGTATGATTAAGTTCTTGATGTTCTTGAACCATTATGTGTTTAATCTTGAGTCTTGGCATGCTTAAGGATTTTGTTTAGGGTATATTTGTGGTGTTTCTAGATTTAATTCTTGTGGTTCAAGTCCATGTTGTTGTTGATATGTGTTGAGATCTTTTGGGACGTGTTCTGGATGCAATTGTGGAAGTCCCAGGATTAAAAAAAAAAAAAGGGCCAAGGAGCCTTCGTACTAGCGGGGGCTCGGTGCGGGGATGAACCCCCACCTGACCACCCGCCGGTACGGTCACCCGTACCAGCGGGTGGCTGGCGGGTGGACGACCCCCCGCTGATACGAGGCCGTTCGCCGGCGGGTAGTCGACCACCCGCCGTTCCGCCCGCTTGTACGGGCGGCGTGGTGTGATGTTTTCCCCTGTTTGTTGTTTCTCCGTGCCCCGATGTGTCCCGTTTAATGTTTGGAAGTCTAGTTTGATGTTTTGGATACCGTTGTAGGAATTGTGTGTGGTGGTTATTGTTGTTGTTGACCTTTGATTGAGTGTTGATGGTTGCTGTTATCTTTGAGCATTGATTGTTGTGATTGATTTGTCAATGTTGTTAAAAGAGATGTGATTGGCGGAAAAGATTTGTTGGCAGTTAGCACAACGAGTGCTCGGTCATATTGTGCTATAGGCGCAGACCACCCTTGATTAGTTTGCTAAAGGCATAGATAAAGTTATTAGCGCTGCGGTGCCATGTCATTGTGCTATAGCTAGGTATGACCCCTTGATTATTGTGCTATAAGTACAGATCATTTGTTAATGGTACTGCGGTGCTATCAAATCGGCGGCTTTGTTGGCGGTATATCGGTGGGGAGCACGCGTGTTCCAGAGGAATAAGGGAGACAATATAAGGGTGGCCTGGAGGTACAGGTTGGAACTGTTATAAGGATGGAGAGGAGTAAAGGTTGGAACTAGGTATAAGGTTGGAACATGGACATGTGTGTTGTTGTTGTATTGTTTGTTGTTGAGCTCCATGATTGTCTGGTTTGTTGTTGAGCCTTATTATCATGTTGGTTTGTTGTTGAGTCTTGTTATTGTCTTATCATGTGGAATTAGGTTGCATGCTAGTATCTTTATGTTGTCTCCTGGTGTCGAGTCTGTTAATGTGTCTTGAGTCTTGATCTTGGTTTTTAATGCTAGCGTTGTTTAGGATTATATATGTATTCCAGTTTCAAAATGATTTCCTTATATCTACCTATATTGTACTCAACGCGTGGGAGTGGGTTACTCAGCATTATTCGCTGACGGTTGTTACACCATATGTTTTTCAGGTGCAGATCAGTAGCTTTGGAGGGCGCTTGATGGACACGAAGACTTCGCTTAGATAGTTTTAGTCTTGGTAGATGACCTGCGCGCCTTGGTTTGTGTTTTGGATATTAAACTTGGATCATGTTCTGTTTAGTTAGTTAGCCTGTGCATCTATGTTCTCAAGCTTAGATGTGGCATAACACCCCGACTTTTATTGTGTAGTCTCTGCTCTGTTTGGAATATTAATGTCAGATTGACTTTATTTCATATGCTTAAAAGTTTTAAAAATTAGGGGTGTTACAAGCATTCATCGCTTTTGAGTTGAAATCATATTCCCTATTTTCTTCTTCGCTCCAGGTTGTTTTTGGTTTTGAATTACCCTTGTCATCAACTGGATACTTCCACTCGTTTTCTATAGCTCCCCAAATTCCTTCACCTTGTGCTAGAATGTATATTTTCATCCTAGCTTTCCAGGTAAAGTAGTTTGTACCAACCAAGGCAGGTGGTCTGTTGTTTAATAGTCCTTCTCTAGGAAATTCCATCGGGATCCGACTAGTAATTTAAGCAGTTTTGCTATGATACCTAGTGAAATTCATGACTTGTACGCAGGGAAGTCGAAACAAAAGCTGTAACATAGATAGTTTATGACATAGTTCGGACAAGAACCCTAATCTGCGAGGCACTTCTCAATTTGTGAATTTTCCTAAATTCACTAAAAGCTCAATGTTAAAAGTACATTTTTTGGAACATGAGATTACATAATAAATGATCTTTTCTATCGTACTATTGTAACCTAAACGCATGTACTACTTTCTAGGGGAATTTTTAAAACTTTTCTCAATTGACTCTCAAACCTCACAAGATTGAAGTTGAATGCGTGAGTCAGAGGGCAACTTCTAGTTATAATACATACTCCTTACTTATTTGTAAAAAACGATGTTAATCCTAATATACTTAGAATTAGGGATATTCTTCAATTAACACTCCTTTTAGAACTGATATTCCTTTTATTCTTCAATTAACACTCCTTTGACAAAAGCTTTTGAGTCAACACCTACTTTATTTTTTAAATTAATAGGATATGCATGCTAACTCAAAATCTAAACTCCATGTACATTTGTTGTCAAATTCATATATAAATTTTTTTATTCCTTAAATTCAACAAGAACGATGTAGCTTATCGCACTCTAACCTTCAAAGTTAAAGTTAAACATTATATAGTTACATAATTTAATGTCACTTTTGGTGACAGTCGCATTTTCTTTATTATGATCATGAAATTTATTACTCATTAGTAATTTTTTTTTTTTGTCCTGGAATTGAAAGAAGGACCCCAACCAAAGGTAGTAGTGTCCCGCTCTCGTAGCAACAATTATATTGTGGACCGCGGTCCACAAGGTTTTGTGAACCATAGTCTAAAATAGTAGATATTATAGTGTATTTAAATTGATATTGTTTCAAAAAAAAATTGATATTGTTTCACGTATTATTTTTAATTTTTTATTATATTATCAAATGAAACTGTAATGGAATTGAAATAAAACTGTAGTTGTGTTGAAATGAAACTACAGTGTATACAAAATGAAACTGAATAATAATTTCACATATTTGAGTGTATATTGTCCAGTGAAATTGTAGTTATATCAAAATGATATCTGTAGTTGGATGATATGGATGGCATACCGGTTTGGCGTCAAGCATGCCTGTAATGTAAAACTGTAAAACTCGGGTTTCCCCCTTCCTTTTAATATAAAAAAATAATACCTATAGTTGTATTAAAATGAAACTGCAATGCATATTTAGGGTCAAAGTATCTATGAAGTCCCTGTACTATAGTGTTTTGTTCAATTTAGTCCTTGTACCTTTATTCTGTTCAATTTAGTCCCTCTACTTTAAAAAGTGGTAAAACTAAGGACAATTGTCTTAATCTCATTACAAACATGGTCGTAATTATTTATTTTGGACATACTAATTTAATATATTGGTGGTAAAAATGATAGATTTTAAATATTTATAAAGTAATATATGAGTAGGAATATAAATATCATCAGTGCCACGTAACCTAAGTTAACGATAATATTAACATCGTTAACTATTGTCCTTAATTGCACTACTTTTGAAAGTACAGGGACTAAATTGAACAAAATAAAAGTATAAGGACTAAATTGAACAAAATGCTATAGTACAGGGACCTCATAGGTACTCTAACCCATATTTAGTGCTTAGTAGTTCTCATGTGATGCAAAAGCGCAAAAGTATTTATCCAAAAGTGAATTATTATATATGGGTGAATTGAAACAGATCTTACAAGATCTTTTGGTGCAACACGTTAAAACATAATCGATCAGTTAGATAGATAAAACACCAATCATTATTACGTAGACCACAAAGTTGTGAGATTACGATTCAAAAATACATAAAATAAAGGAATAAGTGTCAAATAGGCCATCTAACTGCACACGATAATTCAATTAGGCCACTGAATCTAAAAAATCAACAATTGGGTCCTTAAACTAACCAATTTCAAACAATTTTTCCAATTTGAAAGTTTCCAACAGGTCAACAGGTCATCCTCCTAAATTAATTATTTTTTTAAAAATAAATTTTAAAAATTAATTATTTTTAAATTAAATAAAAAAAAAAGGGGGAAGACGTACAGACGAACTTGTTTCCACTGAACCTCTTTTTTTAAAAAAATTAAATAATTAATTTTTAAAATTTATTTTTTAAAAATAATTAATTTGGAAGAATGACCGGTTGGAAACCTTTAAATTGGAAGAATTGTTTGAAATTGATTAGTTTAGGGGCCCAATTGTTAGTTTTTTAGGTTCAGTGGTCTAATTGAATTATCGTGTTCAGTTCGATGGCCTATTTGACCCTTATTCCTAAAATATATTATTCTAACTTACAAAATACATTATTCTAACACATATAAAGTATATTATTCTAACTCATAAAATACATTATTTTACTCGCGACATTTCATTAATCTAACACATAAAGTACATTATACATTATTCTAACTCATAAAATACATTATTTTTATCCTTGAAATTTCATTATTTTAACACATACAATACATTATTCTAACTCATAAAATATATTATCTTATCTTTGAATGTTCATTATTTAAACACGCAGACAGAGCAAGTAATCTTTATTTTAAACATCAAAACGACTTCGTTTTAAATCATAATAATTTGCCATAAAACACAAGATAGAAAGAAAAGAAAACGTTGTCTTCTCATCTAGCTAGGTATAAATGAAGGGAGTAATCTTGATAACTAAGCCAGGGTAAACATCATCAGGATCATGAATGTGAGGATTCTCTTCCACAATGAAAGGGTCTCCGCACTTGCCGCTTATTGTCTGCAACGTCTCACCCTCGCGTACAACGTAAATCTCCTCGCACTGCCGCCTCTCAAACGGCGGCACCACAACGTTAACTCTCCCCATCATCATCATCATCAGCTCATCGCCGCCGTTTGCCGCCGCACTCTCAGTCGTACCCCATCTGCCAGCAAAGCACCTCAGAAGCAGCACCGTCGCCAGCGCCGCCGCGCAATACCACGAAACCTTCTCCCCCATTGTTGCACCCGGCCACCTAATAATAACCCACAACATATGTAGTATTCTCTTATATATGAATTATTAGGGAGTTTTTATATCCATACGGTGGTTGTGTAGTTACGTTGAGGATTGATTGGATTGTATTATAGTGGGATATATATCGATCGATGTTGAAGTGGGAGCTGAGGGAGTTGAAACGTTAAGGAATTGAAATGTAACTGTCAAGGGAAGAAGAAATCCAAACATCATCGTATATATCATATCAGATCATGAAAGGGATGGATGGACGTACAAGCTAAATGCAACAACTAAACCAACACGAACAATAAATTAATCAACGCATTGGTCACAAGAGTATCTACTCGTAAACTTGTGTAATAGCATATAAACTATGCACAAGAAACAAGAGTATTTACGGGCTAAACTTTGTTCTTGTGTAATAACCTACATGGAAAATAAGAGCATCCATTTGCTAAACTTTGCTCTTGTACTTGTAATAGCCTGCAAACTATACATGAAAAACAAGAGTATCCACTAGTTCAACTTGACTCTTGCGTAATAGTGTGCAAATTATACATGAACAAGGTAAATCACACTAGAAAGACCTTGTGTGATAAGAATAAAAAGCATAACCTTTTAGTAGGGAATCACAAACAACGTTCATTCACATGACATGTGCTTATTATAAAAAGTCGTTAGAGATTTTTATGCATAATTTTTTGTCACTCACAAGTCATGTATGTGACATAATCAGATGAAATTCCACCAAATTTCTCACTAGAAGACTCGGGAAAAAAAAGCGTTGTGCATAGTAATTTTTATATTTATGCACCAATAATAGAAATGATATCAAATTTGTGGAACCAAAAGTAACAAACACCTCAACTTTTATATATTTTTTCAGTATGTCACATTGTAAGATATTTTGATTTTGATTTTTTCCCTAACGATCCGACTTCATGAAGGGATATTACGATAGCTAGCGTTTGACGTAATTAATCTATATCTATATTATTATATAAAAATAAAATCTTGAACTTTTAACTTCCTGCCCAATTCCTAAAAAATCTCTCTTCCTAATAAAATATATTGATTTCTACTTTCCCATTCGTACAGTAATTCTGTGTTAAAATTCTATTCTAATATTATAAAATAGTGTAATACAATTCCAATTGTAATCTATACTATATATAAAAACAAAATTTGAAATTTTAACTTTCCGCCCAATTCTTAAAAAATCTCTCTTCCTAATAAAATATATTGATTTCTACTTTCCCATTCGTACAATAATTCTGGGTTAAAATTGTTGGAAAAATAGCATTAAAATGGCATTTTGAGTGATTATTTTGCGGTACAAATATATGTGGGATCCACATCCGATTTGGGTCGGGTCAATGTGGATTCGGGTTCTTCGTAGTAAGACGAAGAATTTGATATAATGTACGCTCAAAATGGGTAATAGGTGAATGAGAAATTGATCAAATTGAACCTATTTAGGAGAAGTCCAAAGTACGAAAGCTTAATAAATGGGAATTGAGTTTTAGCCCAATTCGTGCCCCTGCTATCGGTCCTGTACGAAAGTTAGCTTAAGTGTAGTTAAGCTTTGTTTTGAAAGCTTAAGTATGTTAATCTTAAGAGCTTAATTAAGCTTTGAAAGTTGCATGGACGAAAGTTGCAATATGAATGGACGAAAGTTGCATGGACTTCAAAGATTAAGTTTCGTGCTCCTTTCGTGGCTTTTAGATTTGGTGAGCACGAATCAATGTTATATGCATTGATTCGTGCTGCACCGTTTCGGCCACTCGGGTGTGGTTTTCGGTCCCAATTTGTTAAACTTTTAGGTTTGTATGAACTTCTCGGTCACTCAGATATTTTGAACCAGGTCGTTATGGTCAGTACGAATTAATCGGATATTAAGTTCGTGACCGTTGATATTATTTCGATAATAAGTACGACCGTTTCAAACGTTATAATTCAATTTTTAAATTGAATTTATGTTGGTTAATGTGTCATGATGATGCTATTTAGTGCCAATCTCCTATATAAACATGTTGTGGGAGCAACCTTTTTGGCACAATGTGAAAACGAGAACAACACACACAACACATAAAATATTGCTTTCCCAGCTCCAAAATCTCTGCTCCTACTCCATTCTTGTAGCTGTGTTTTGCCCGTGCTCTAGTTCGTCGGGTTCGCTCGTTTGGGTGCTCAAACATCGAACCGTTGTACGTTTTATCCTGGGAAACCTAGGCCACAACGCTCCTAGCACTTTTGGGAGGTGACAAATAAGGTTTTAAGGAAAGAAATGCACCTTGTCTAACTCGTACATTTCTTTCTTCCTTCTCCTTCTTTCTTGTTTTTGGATTATGCTCTAAGCAAAAATCCGTTCTTTCTTGTTGACTTGGAGTTATAATCTGAGGATTATAAGTTCCTTTTGGTTGATATATATTGTTATATCTTTCTCGTAGATATATACGTATATATAACCTTTGGATCCGTTTTATATATATTTGTGTGTATATATATATATTTCGGATATATGTATCCAATAATATTTTATATATATTTCGTGTGTATATATATAAATATTATTTTAAGGGATATTAAATCGATTTTGGTTCATTATTTCCAACAAAAATTATATTATAATATTATAAAATAGTGTAATACAATTCCTATTGTAATCTATACTTCTATACTATATATAAAAACAAAATCCTGAAATTTTAACTTCCCGCCCAATTTCTAAAAAATCTCTCTTCCTAATAAAATATATTGATTTCTACATTTCCATTCGTACAATAATTCTGTGTTAAAATTCTATTCTAATATTATAAAATAGTGTAATACAATTCCTATTGTAATCTATACTATATATAAAAAAAAACAAAATCTTGAAATTTTAACTTACCGCCCAATTCCTAAAAAATCTCTCTTCCTAATAAAATTTATTGATTTCTACTTTCCCATTCGTACAATAATTCTCGGTTAAAATTCTATTCTAATATTATAAAATTGTGTAATACTATTCATATTCTAATCTATATCTATACTATATATCAGTGTTGCAAAAATCGCGCCGCTGGCTGCGGCAAGGAAGGCTGGAATCGGCTTCCTCCGCGGGCGCCTAGCCGGCTGAATCGGCGATTAATTTTAATTTTTTTTTTAAGTTGTAAAGTGTCAAAAATTCGGCAAGACATAACTTTTGACTCAATTGTCCGTTTTGGACAATTTTTTTTTAAATCGCGTATTTTTTCGACATCTATCCACCTCAAACAGCCGTAGGCGGTTTGGCCCACCAAGTTCTCAAAAAAATGCTTCATTAAATAATTTCTAAGAAAAAAACTGTGAGAACCTTCTTTTCTAATTCATTAACTTCAAGACTGGTTCTAAACGCCGCGTAACCAGAATTCTAGCTATCTGACTAATGTATTTACGAGTGAAGATCCCGGTTGACTCCCCACTTTCCCAGCAGCTAACTTTCATGTTTGGCTTTTTCTCTTCCTTGGTTGCTTGCCCTCTCGCCCCTTGCTTTTGTTCAATTATAAAAAAATAAGCTTCTTGTTCTGCATCTGAATCTTCTTGTTCTGATGAACAGGGATAGGGTTGATGCCAGATCCACTTTTAGGGTTGACTCAGCAGTTGAAGAAGGTTGTAATTTGAGGCATCGCTCTTTCCTTTGTCCTTCCCCCCGATTTTTGCCCTATCACTAGTGGTTACTCACGATCCATACTAACGGATTCGGGTCCATAACCTTGGGTTCCACTATAGGAGATCTTGGGACTCCACAACCACCGGAACAAACAAGAGCTCTGCTTCGGATTTCAGTGATGGGACTCATACTTATGGGAACCCTAGTCCAAAATGTTTACTACTTATGCTTTTAGAAAAAGAAAGACTTATTCGTATCAATGTGCTGAAAATTTTGTTCTGAATCCGTCCGTTGGTTGTTTAGCTAGGGAAGTTTCTTCGATTTAGACGTTGATACCCATGCCTACTTCACCGCAGCTACCATGATCATAGATGTCCCCACTGGAATAAAAATCTAGAAACTTATGTTTTATTAATCAATTTTTAAAATTTTTAATTAAAAAATTGTCCCGTGCATTATTTAATAATCTTTCTTTCTAATTGTTAAATTATTTAATTATGGTAAATTAGGGAATAATTAATGATTGTAATAGAAATCCTAGAAGAATATAGAATAGAATAATATTTAGGGAAAATGACACTTTTCCCCTGAATTATATGTTTATAGCATATTTTCCCCATAAATTATTCAAGTGGCTGTTTTTTCCCCTGAAATGTTAAATGGACATATTTACCCTTAAAATAAATATTTCATTTATTTTTCTTCTCCAACAAATTATGACCACAATTTGGTTCAAACCATACAGACACTATAGCAACCAAACCGAAATATTCTAATTACAATTTAGAATCGAAACTCGATATTTAAAGTTTATTAAAATCGCAATCCGGGACGGCTGGTTCATGTTCGGAACTGAAAAAAAAATAAAATACATTTATTATTGAATTTAGACTATTTTAAAATAAAAAATAAAATTTTAAAATAAAGACAGTTCAAAATCGCGAACTGGATCTAGAACCGCCGGTTCACGGTTCAAGATCCAGTTTTTTAGATTCATAATTTTAATAAACTGAAATCCAAATATTGAATTCTGTATCTGAATCATAACCAGAAACTTTTAATTATATTGCTATAGTGTCCGGTTCAATTCGAATCGAACCGTGGTCATCCCTACATATACGCAATAATTTGTTGGAGAAGAAAAATAAATAAAATGTTATATTTTAAGGGTAGAAACATCAATTTAATATATCTGGGAGAAAAATTGCCACTTTTAAAATAATTGAGGGGGCTAATGTGCTTACATGAGTAATTCAAGGGGCGGGGGGGGGGGGGGGGGGGGGGGGGGGGGAGGGGAGTGCTATAAGTATATAACTTAAGAGGGAAAAGGTGCCATTTTCCCTAATATTTAATTATTGTTATATTA